GCGGTGCCATAATTACCGGTGCGCTAGGGGCAGACGTGTGCGGTGCGTTATTTATCGATAACCGCTTATTGATTCCTAGAAGGATGAAGAATAGTGTGCGCTGGGGCACTGTAGTTTACTAATAAGGCGAAAATGTTTTACACGCCGAAGCACTTCAAGAAAATTTGCAGACCCACATTTAAGTGAGCGCCTTGTTATTAGCGTAGGTGATTTTAACTCGGACGAAGATTAATTATTGCATATACGTATTTTAAATTTTTATTAATTTTATTTAGTCTAAGTATGTATTTTTGAATAACAAATGTTTTAATAGTTTTCCTTTTATTTTACATTCTTTACTTTTACACAATTTTCACATCGACACGACAGTGGTGCATAGCTATACCTGCCGTTAGGCCCGAAGTACGTCAGAGAGCGCAACAGGCGTCCTGAGTTACCATTTTATTGTATCGCGGGCAGCGAGCGTTTAACATTAGTATAAAACAAAGATCTATAAGAATAAAGACCGTGTAGTAAGAGGCGACAGAAGTAAACAAATCAGGAGATAGGCAATAGCATATTCCTAATAACCACTAAACCTACTATGGCAAATAACTCATCTACAAGGTAATCTACGAGGGAGGCCTATGTTCAGCAGTAAACTTTAATAGGCAGCTACGATAACGGAAAAATAAAGATTGTATCAGCGGATCTGTATTATTGCCGATCCGGTGCATCTCAGATTAATACTCACCTTAGCCAAGTCAACGGCGATATGCGAGCCCACGTCAATGCCAACTTCGTCAGCTAGTGTCGCGGCACCTACTGGGAAGCCAAACTGTTTCGTCATACTGTCAAGATCTTTGGGATCCACACCCTCTTGTAACAATCTATAAAAATGCAAATGAGATATTATACACAGCCATTCTTACATAAGCTCCTCCACAAAGAGGAGTTTTACAGTCATTACTAAACTAAAAATATATTCACATTTGGATGAGATGAGTCGCATCATATATTGTTACGAGCTTAGGGTTCGTGACAATTAAAACTGCAGATTGAAATACAAAAATTGACACATTAATTACTGAACACCAATTAAAACTTAAATTACACTAATAATTAATCACACTTAACACTTTAGTTCACTTTATTTCACTCCGAAATCTTCACGTGTGTCGCCAATTCAATACTGCCCGGTTGCGGCCCTAAACGGTTTTATATAGGCCTTTTCCACAGAAACATCTAGAATGTTACAGCAAATACCGGTCCCGACCGACTAGATGTAGAAAGTTCGAGTGTGTAGTTTTCTAGAAAGCTAGTTCTTCTATTCGTTATTAGATGACGCTAGTGGGAGAGTTCTAGAAACTTCTTGACGCTCCTATTTCTGTTCTTTGATACTAGATGGCGCTAATAATCATCCGCTATATACCGCTCATAAATTATGGCGCGCAACAATATCTTTATTTTTACTCAAGTTATGCTGCTGCTTGTGCCTGGTTGGAAAGGTTATACCACCATATATATATATATATATATATATATATATATATATATATATATATATATATATATATATTATGAGGGGTAAACATTGAAGGAAAACTACGTTGAGTTAATCAATTTACGTGACAAATGAAAAATATTTCGAATACACGTGGAGTACAACAGTCCCCAGTTCACGCATGCCTCCCTACAATAAGAGAAAAGATATCAGTGGACTGCATCAGTACTGTACATGGGTATAAGAATTACCTGACGGCCTCACTGAGCATAGTGGACAAAATGCGTGTGGTGTAAAAGCCGGGTCCGTCGCCGACAGTGATGACGACCTTGCCCTGGCGCAGGCCCACGGCCACGGCCGCGGCCGCCGTGTCGTCGCTGGTGCCCGGGTGCCGGATGATCTCCAGCAGCTGCATCTTGTCCACCGGCGAGAAGTAATGCATGCCTGCAATTTGTTTTCACATCAAAACTTATAGAGAATTCGCAATTTAACGTTATAGCCTAATAAACACCACTGCTGAACATACACCTCCCCGATGGATTGCCTCATAGGAGGGATATTTGCGATAGTTGCCACGCGTGGCAAGCACAGTTATTTTATATTCGTTATTAGGAAGACGTTTCTTGCTCATCTCCTGATTTGTTTCTCTGTCGCCCCTCACTACACCCACGGGATGATATGGGGTAGTGGATATTGTTACACCACCACTACACAGTAATAACTTAAGGTAATTTAATAAAGAAAAACCTTCAAATGAAACATGAACTGTTTATTTTTTATAAAAGTATAAAATGATAAGCTTTTTTAAAAACTATATTTATATACAGCTCTACCACATAAAAAACATTTAGTCTTGTCCGGTAATTGCACACAATACTGTCATCAAATTGTGTATTTTATCCATCTACAGGGGATTGTCTCCGTGTCCACCACTTTACGTTTCACAAGGATTTTCTTCCACGTACAACCTCTCTAAATAAATGGGGCCTTCAAGAAAAGACTACTACTTTCTAACAAACCAACTCCTTTTGGTTGATCATTTTTAGGAGTTTGTATATCAACGTTACGTTACTTTACATGTGGGAGAGCCATGTTGCAGCTATATTATAGTCGAAGTAGCACGAACGGGTCGGCTTGAGCGGGGAGGGATCACGCTCTCACAGAATAACAGCATGAAATACCAGCTTAATGCTGCTGTGCTTTGTGTGCTAAATGTAAGAGAACTGGAGACCCTTAGTCATCAGGGGTGACAACAGATTTGCATTTAAATTCTTAATAAAGGATACATGTAGATGTCTATGGGCCATAGTATCCATTTACCATTAGGTGGGATGTGCTCACTTGTCACCCTTATTCTATAAAAAAAGTTTACAATTTCACAAAAGTACTGAAGACTTGAAGGCTCCTTCTTCTTCATTAGTCTATAAAAGTTCACTGCTGTACATACACCTCTATAATTCTGGGGAGGAATTAACTCTCGCATAGTCGATGCTACTGCCCGTCGTCGGTATTTTGTGGCATGTACAAGCTTTCGTTTTATAGCTTTGATTTTTGGCTATTTCCCATAGCCGCCTCTTACGACATTCATTTAAGATTGACATTACCCTATTAATTACACTTCGGATTTTTTTTGAAATATTAATTGAAGGCATACCACCCTACCGAAAACATTCAATTGAATCAATTCCGACAGGATGAGAAAGTTTTAAGTGGATCTCAGTTCTAAACAAATTAGCCACTCCTGGGGTATAGAGTCCTAACCATGGGTACAGTCTACATGCACAGATACAATGCTAGCAAAAGTTACAGCCTATTGTAAGTATATATTGTTGCCCCGAAAATAAATATCAGATCCCAGGCATATATGTTGTAGAAATAATGTTCTTACCAATAACTTTATCTGGGCGACTGCTTCCTGCCGCGATTTTTGTGATGGGTATAGCGCTTGTGTTAGTAGCAACAATACAATGCTTTGGAATTACTGCTTCCAATTCTTTAATAACTTTGTGTTTGATGTTTATATCTTCGAATACAGCTTCAATCACGCAATCTACATTTTTGAACTTATCATAACTTAGTGTGGGAAAAAGATTTGATAAATATTTGTCTTTCTGCAAACTGTAAAAATACACAAATTTGAATGTATTCGTTAACTGATTAATTATAAGTCTACTTATTGTTATAAATACTAATATGTTTCAAACTTACGAAGTGATTCTTTTGCGTTTTACGGCATTGACTAAACCGTTTTGTATTTGTCCTACGCCTCTATATAGACCTTCATTAGTTGCATCTTTCATTACAACATTATATCCTTTATCAATAGAAACTTGAACTATACCAGCTCCCATCAAACCAGCGCCAAGTACTCCAATCTGATAAAAAAGGAATTTTTAAACACATAGGTACCCGAACTCCTTAGTTAAAAACACACGCACATTACATTAGTTTTCTGGGTGTTCATTTCCAATCCCACCCTGCGCCACTCTCTATCTAATTCATTGAGCATTGCTTGAAGACCGTCACTTGATGGGTGAAAAGAAATTAATACAGAAAGGGGAGTGCGTCAGGGCGATCGCCCTCTTCCTGTATTTATTTCTTTTCCTTCTTTCTCTAATTTGATTTTTGCTTTACTATTTTTGTAGCTGTTTTTCAGTATTCTGATGTATTTATGTTCAACACCTCGGTTCTTAAGTGCTTGCCAAATAATTTCGTGATCGAACAAGAGCCCTACAATAATCAACAAAGCAGCAGTAGAAGACAATATTTTATTCTTTGCTTTTTTTCAAACAGTTGCTTGACAACATGAATGTTATCTAATGTTGATTTTCATCAAGTATTTTGGTAATTCGATTTATGATAACTTTCGCAAAGATTTTGTAGATATTAGACACTAGGCTGATAGGTCTCTAATTATTGATATTATTTTTATCACCCTTCTTATGTAGTAATATTATAGCTGATATTGTCCACTGATTTGGTATTACCTTGTTATCCAAAACATCGTGAGATATGTTTTAGTATGGATACAAGGCGGTCTTTATTTTTAAATAAGAAATTCATTACTTACACCATAAGGAACATAAACAGAAATTTTTTATTCAATATAGATTATAAACAATACTTATTGAAAGTCAATTTTTTCATTTACCACTGGTTCGCAAAAAAACCTCTGTCCTGGGAAGAACCAGCAAGAAACCCAGCGGGACTTTTTTTTTTTCAAATAATAGCTTACAATCATGTTTACAATTAACACCACAAGACAAATAGAAATAGCTTGGTAGCGATCACCCTTCCCAGGGGTTATTATCATCCATAAATTCCTTGAATGAATATCACTCATTTTTGCAAAACTACGTTTATTCTTGTGTATGTACATTACATTTTCATAAATGTATTGAGAGGCCAGAGTTAATATATTGATTTCCTTAAATGTTTGTCTCTGTGACTCTTTTGGTTTTAAATTATATATTTCTCTAATGGCTCTCTTCTGTAAAATAAATATAATTTCAGTGTCAGTCGCGTGTCCCCATAGCAAAATACCATACGACATAATGCTATGGAAATAACTAAAGTAAACTATTCTAGCTGTTTCAATACTGATAAGAGTTCTAACCTTTTTTACAGCATATGCTGCAGAACTAAGTCTGCTAGCTAGTTTTTATATATTGATATATGGGGGGGGGGGAGCCATTGAAGCTTTGCGTCTAGTGTGATTCCAAGAAAAATGGTGGTATCAACAAGACTCAGTTCTTCCCCATTTAAAATTACATTCGTATTAACATGTTTGACATTAGGAGTTACGAATTTCATACATTTAGTTTTAGTACCATTTAAATGCAAATTATTAACATTAAACCAATTGACTAACTTAGCTATATCATTATTTACTTCGTCGTAATTTAATAACTGTCGTTTTAATTTGAAAATTAATGAAGTATCATCAGCAAATAATACTATATCATGGTTATCCCCTACTATGTAAGGTAAGTCATTAATATATACAAGAAACAGAAAGGGGCCGAGAATTGAGCCCTGAGGCACGTCCATTTGTACAGTCGACCCGGAAGAACTCATACTATTAATGACAACTTTTTGCGTTCTGTCACTTAAATATGAAATAATTAATTTAAGACTTCTTACACCGTAGTGTTGAAGTTTCCTAATTAATGTTTCATGGTGAACACAATCGAAGGCTTTGGATAGGTCACAGAATATACCCAAAGCATCCTGTGAATTCTCCCATGCATTAAAAATATATTTCATAAGCTCAACACCAGCATCAGTTGTCGAGTGACCCCTTGTGAAACCGAATTGATTTTTATGAAGTTATATAGTAGTATGAACATTAAAAAAATTTTACATTTGATCAAGAATAATTTTTTCAAAAATTTTACTAAGTGTTGGCAGTACAGAAATAGGTCTAAAATTAGCGGGGTCCAATGTACTGCCAGATTTAAATAAAGGTATTACGTTACTATGCTTCATTAAATCAGGAAACACACCAGATTTGATACTAGTATTAAAAATAATAGAGAATTGAGGTGCGATTGCATCTATTATAGACGCAATAACTTTAACGGAAATCCCCCACAGATCGGCGGTTTTCTTAATATCAATAGTCTTAAAATATTTTAGAATATCTTTTGATGACACTTTATGAAATGTAAAATTCTTTGTACACGCATTTACATTTTGTTTAAGTAATGATTCGGCGACGGCAGGAGAAGAATTCATTGACTTAGTGGTTAAGATAGGAATATCAGTAAAATATTTCTAGAAAACCATTGCAACGTCCTGGTCTCATTCAGTTAATTTATTGTTAAAACTTAACTGATAGTTCGAATTGCGAGATAATAACCTTACCAGTTTCACTATTAATTATACTCCATATCATTCTACTGTCGCCCACTCATTAAATGCCTTGTGATTGTTCAAGGAGAATATTTTAGAAGTAAAAGTATTATTAAATTCATTGCAAATAAGCCTAAACAATGTTCCATACAAAAAATCTGGATTATTTTGGTATGAAAGTGATGGAAGTTTCTTTTACTACGTTACTTCTAAACTTCTCAAAGCGACGTGCATTTACTGGAACAAACACTACTTTTTTATTTACTTGCTTTTTGTGAACATAAGGTAACGAAACTAATTGTACACAGTGATCAGAGCTCAATTTTTGAATAATACATTTATTGAATGACTAGCAATGAATTAATAACATTTGTAAAAATGTTATCTATACATGTTGCACTAGATTCAGCAATACGCGTTGGCTCCAAAAATAAATTAAAAAGATCATAAGATTCTGTTGTCTCATTTTCTAATTTAAATTACTTGGAACAGGTTCCAAATCGCATGTCACATCATTATGCTTCTCAATAGGAGCTGAGTTAATATATAAATAATAAGATAGCACATTTGCTATCTGTCTTAAATTATATTTGGATAGGTAATACCTATATGTAAAAAAAATTCTTAATTAAATTATTAATGTCTATTAAATTAATTCCATTAGTATAATTATTACAGTTAAATGTCAAATTTAAATTATTGTTACATGACAAATTATTCATTAATAAATTTAAATCATATCTTATTTTATTCTCCTGTGGCCAACCCTGTATGTAAGGCAATGTAAATAAGATAATTTTATGTACATTTAAAGTATTGAGGTAATAAATATATTTTAATAATTGATTTTGTTTACATTGCCTCTTCTCCCAACAAGAATTATTAATATGCTATTAGGACAAAACTTACTAGTTAAAACTTTATTCATTATATGACTAAAAGATGCTCCAGGCATACAATAATTACTAATCACATGTACTTTTAAATGGTTATTTAACATCATGCCCAAATTTTTACCTATGTCATCACAATACATAATAACTTTATGTTTTTTAATATTTAAATTACTTTTTAAGTTTTTATTCTTTGTTATGGCACCGTCATAGTTTGTGGGTGACAATAAGGAGTCATTATTATTTACACATATTGTCCCCGATGAAAATGGTATGGAGCGCTGATTCTCACTCTGATGTTTTATTAAGGAGTCTGGTAAAGTCATGTTTGTATTTACATGACTTTACCAGATCATTCATGGCCAATATGTGTTCTTTTATCTCAACCTGAGCCGATGTATATTTATTTGAGATAATTTACAAGGAGTTTTTAAGCGCCAAAATTTTTGAATTGAGACACTCTATTTCAGTCTCATAACAGTTTTTCATATTTTCCACCTCAATTGAAAATAATTTAAGTTTATTAATTAATTCATGCTTTTCCTTACATATATTTACATATTTTTTATATTAATTTTAGTTTTAATTAACTTTTGCACTTTCCTAACATATTTATTAATTTTTATATATTTCTTTAATGTTCTTCTACTGCATGTAATCCTTTCTGCTGTCCTTGATGTGACAAAATCATCACCAGTCAAATCGATTGTTGTGGAGGGTTGCAATGTTTTTGAACCAGGAGCTTTATCCTTCTGTGTTTTTATAGCTTTATCTACTTCTACATACATTATTTTTGGAACTTCATCCATATTTTTCAAGTCAGTTGTGTATGTAATATTTATTTTGTATACAAGTTTCGAAAGAAGTTAGTACTTTTTTTATAGGATAGGGTGACAAACGAGCTCCCAATCCGCCTGACGGTAAGTGGTTGCTGTGGCCCATAGACATCTACGTCTATCCTCGATTACGAATCAAAATGCAGATGCGTTGTCATCCGTGAGGATTTAGATGGAATGCCTCGTTTCCAGTAAAAAGGGTCTCCGGCTCTCTAAACTCACCATACGAAACACAGCAGCATTAAGCTACTATTTGACGCTGGTATTCTGTGAGAGCGTGGTCCTTCCCCGATCCAGCCGACGTATTCGTGCTACAACTATACTATTAAGGGTCAGCGCACACCAAGAGCAGAGCAGAGCAGAGCATTTTCGGAGAACACTAAAATATTAATTTTATGACTATTGACAGACAGTGCAAAATTATATACACGTCCGAACATGATGCTCGACCATACTCGAGCTTGCAGGATGCATGTTCGAGCATGCGCGAGCGCGCTCGCACCGCCGCCGCCCGCGCTCAGTATTGCCGCAGCGAAAAACCTGTTTGGACGTGTGTTTAGTTTATATAAGCGCGTCACATAAGTCGGAATCATGGACGAAGAAAAGTTGATAAGTTTGGTGCAGCGTTTTAAGTGTCTGTACAATAATATCAAGTCCAACACACAGCGATCGTACGTTAAAAGCCAATGCTTGGGAAAGAATCTCCACGTTTCTTCTACCCATACTGTTCTTCTAATTTTCTGACGTCTGATTTCATTAATATGTTCTTCATGTACACCAATCACCAAGTCTCAATGGATCATATTGAACACGTCTATCAACGTCGGATTTTGGCATCAAATTGGTCATGCACTCCCCCCTAGCAACCCAGAGCACTTTCAATGGATCCTGCTCACGGAAGCGCGCGGATGCCGCCTGCATGGTAGAGTAGTCAAAATTTTGCTCGAGCATGCGCGAGCATTTTGCAGTTAGGTCTGCGCTGACGCTAATATAACTGCAGCATGGCTCTACCACGTAAACACGTATTGAAATAATTTTTGGCCTCGGAGTTGCACATTTGTCGTTTCTATCCTTAATATGAGGTGGTATCCAATTCCTTTTTTTGTGTCAATAGTTTAGCTGCTTTCTTAATGCCTCTTGTTTTCTGTATGCACTTCCAGTGTTTCTAACCTGTACTTTTGTCAGTCTTTTCTCATGTTTACCTTGATTTCTTTATTGATTTCAGTTATATTTCTTCTTGATAAAAATTAGTCTTATTAGTGGTAGTTATTAGATCAGCTCTAGTGTTCAACAGTTCCCTTATTTTGTTACATAGAAAGTCTTGTAATCTGCTATATTTATCATGTGTATTTAATTTTTTATACTTTCTATGAAGCCTCAATTTTTTTCTATCAACTCTTCAGAGCTTACTGATGTTCTTACTGTTGGTAATTTTATTTTGAAAGGTCTGTTTATCCTAAATGTGGTAAATTTAAGGTTTGGTTCTGACCATTCTGTAGTTATTGGTAAAGTTAAGATTGCTTATAACTCTACAATCTTGGAAAGCTATACTTCTGTTAGTTAAAACATAATCAATCTCTTTTTTATGGTGACCATCAGAAGATATCCATGTCCACCTATTACTTTTTGATTTTCGTATTGGCTGTTTAGTATTTTGAAGTTGTTCTCTTATGTAAATTGGATTAATTTTTCTCTTTCCTGTACTGGTTTGGCCTAGTGCTAACTCTTCACCTTCACTTTTATATCTTGTTCTGGCATTGAAATCGCCCATCACTATCAAGTTATTGTGTGTATGTTTTTTATTGATTCTGTTAGTAAGGAGTAGAATGAGTCTATTTCTAACTTACTGGGCTGTTCTGTTGAGGAGTAAATTTGTATGATAGACCACATTACATAATTGGGTGGTAGTTTTATGTACAGTATCGCAATACATTCAGATATGCCGATTAATTCATCAATTAGCTTGCTTAACTCTTTTTTAATCAAAAAGCCTAGTCCAAATTTGCCTGGTGTTTCCCCTTTATAATATAAAATAAATTCCCCATGATCTATACTTTTCCCTTGGCGTCTTACTTCACTCATTCCTATTATTAACCACTTTTATATGTATTTTCTATTGTTGATATCAAACTTACGTTAGTTCCTAAGGAGAGTGTATTATATGTTGCTATATATATTATATTACTATTATTTTGGCAACGTTTTCTTTTTTCATAAAACGTATGAGTTTATGATAGTTTAAATGGAGGGTAGTAGTCGATTTCCCCCACGGGGACTAGCCGGCTTGGGGTTTATTTTCGTAGTTTTGGTTTATATAGAGTTTTCAAGTATTCCATTCCAGGTGATATACAAAGCCAGTAATTAATTATAATTAGATTAAGTATGATAATTGATTATAATTTAACATGAAGAATCCGCTTCTCCTATTTCTTTATTAGACATAAAAACCCACTGCTGCACTAGGATTTCTGTCGCTGTAGGGAGGATTTGCTTTAAGGCCCTCTTGTTGAATGGTGTGTAGGTATGCCAACCATACATTGCACCCCGCAATTGTCCAGCAGATTAGCACTAAAGCGGGGAAATTTTTATATAAACAATCTACGTCCAACATAATAGAGGTCTTAGTGGGCACTGACGGGACCCTTGAATTGTTCGATTTGTTTTTTTTTTTCATAAGATAAAGATAAAACTAATTTGAAAAATGTGTTCACAACATGAAAAATAAAATGCCAATTCATTTGATATAAGTTTTACATGATTTCAATATGTAACCTCTGCAAGTTTTAAATAGCCATTAAGTATCATCTTTATTCTTTTTTATAGAACCAATTAATATGAACGCGTTTCTGTCTTCACCACAGAACACAATTACTCTCTACCGAGAGGTCTTCACTGTTTATAACATGTCTTTTTTTCTTTTGTGCAATAATATGATTTAAGTATATTTACAGAGGTGCGAAAAACTAAAAGTACTGTGAAGTCGCCTTAAGGACGCGTTTACAAAATGGATAGGTATAGAATCGCACTACTACATTGACAAAAGTCACACACACACACTAGTGTACGCACGGTTGGCTGTGGGAATCGTACCTAGTCAAATGAAATTATTTTGATAATTTGAAAGATTGAATTTGTTTTTCATTTCTTATACCTACCTCAGAAATATACTTCGATACGAAATATGAATACCTGCTCCAAAGACTGCTTGGCACTGGAAGCCCTCTACTGGTAGTGAGATGTTAGCTCTGGACTTTGAACTGGTTTTGTCAGTTATAATAAGACCTTACCTACCCGCGGACTTGATGGAGTGACCTGAAGGTGTAATTTGGTGATTACAACAGGAACTCCTAGACTAGAGGAACTGGGTGTGCCGAGTTTGGGTTCGTTTTGTTGGTTATGATGAGACCTTACCACCGGACTTGATGGAGTGACCTGAAGGGGTAATTCAGTAACTACTGCTGGAATTTCTGAATCAGTAGAACTAGGTGTGCCAAATTTCACTCCATCAAGTCCGGTGGTAAGGTCTTATCGTAACTAACAAAACGAAACCAAACTCGTCACACCTAGTTCTACTAGTCTAGGAGTTCCAATTGTAAACACTGAACTACACCTTCTGATCACTCCATCAAGTTCGGTGGTAAGGTCTCATCATAACCTACAAAATGAACACAAACTCGGCACACCTAGTTCTACCAGTCTAGGAGTTTCAGTTGCAATCACCGATTTACACCTTCAGGTCACTCCATCAAGTCCGGAGGTATGGACTCGTCATAACTAACAAAACGAAGCCCAAATTCGGCACACCTAGTTCTACTCGTTCAGAAATTCCAGCAGTAGTTACTGAATTACCCCTTCAGGTCACTCTATCAAGTCTGGTGGTAAGGTCTCATCATAACTAACAAAACGAACCCAAACTCGGCACACCTAGTCCTATAAGTCTAGGAGTTCCACTTGTAATCACCGAACTACACTTTCAGGTCACTCCATCAAGTCCGGTGGTAAGGTCTCATTATAACCTACAAAACGAACCCAAACTCGGCACACCTAGTTCTACCAGTCTAGGAGTTCCAGTTGCAATCACCGATTTACACCTTCAGGTCTCTCCATCAAGTCCGGAGGTATGGACTCGTCATAACTAACAAAACGGAGCCCAAATTCGCCACCCCTAGTTTTACTCTGCAAGAAGTTCAAATAGCGGTCACGAAAGTACACCTTCAGGTCACGCCATCAAGTCCGGAGGTAAGGTCTCATCATAACCAACAAAACGAGCCCAAACTCGGCATACCTAGTTCCGCTCGTCTAGGAGTTGCAGTAGTAGGTAAGTTTATATATCCTACTTATTTTTAGCTAAATAAAAAACTGTGAGTATAAAAATAATAATTTTATCACTTGTCAAGTACTTATGTTTCCAATTTGTTTTTTTCTAATATTTTGTGTATGTACAGCGATCTTTTCAGAATGAGCCGCTGCAAACAGGCGATACAGTGTCCACTCACGACGGCGGCCGAGCGCGGACTGTGGTTTCATCGAAATCTTTGTACAATAAATCAAAGCAGGCACCAACAATAAAATAGCCCTTATTGCAATAGATTATGATTCATCCGTATTACCAAAATATGTGAAAAAATGTGCATCAGTTTTTATTTTTTTTACGACTATTTGTGACATTTTGTTAAAAAAATAAACCCAGGGTTTTTTAATTGAATATGTCTGTCATCTTATAGTATTTTTTAAATTTTTTAAATATGTTGATAATAGATCAAAACATGTACCGAAACACAAGCCGGTATCGTTAATTTTGTAGAAGATGGCAACGAAAGTTCGTTTTTACAATATAAAAAACTACTATTTTCAACAAAAGAGTTACAGACGTTTGCAGATGAAGAACCAATCTATACATGGTAGTTTTTACTTATATTTGATTTGGTTTAGTTTTGTCACAAAATCTACCGAAAAACACCCTAGTTTTGGTTGATTTGCAAACGCGTCCTTAATCGCTACGAGTAGCAGGCGAATTAGCGACCGCAGTATCAGATGACTCGCATTTTTGACGCTGGGCTTTTTACATCTGGTACAAACAAGGTTATGCTGCCATTTATTGCAATCATTAATTTTACATATATTTACAGAATATGATATATATTGCCCAAATCCGACTAGTTCAGTATCACCAAACTATTACCCGCCATTTGAGCTACGCTATAGTAACAAAAACTAAAACTGAGGAAGAGAGCATACTACGTATAATTATTTTATGAAAATATAAGTAGTTGTAATTATGTTAATTTTTAATGATGATATAAATGATAATTGTATAGATGATAAAAATGCACTAGTTTAATGATTTATTATATTTACGCGAATATGTTGTATGGAATGGGATTAAACTAATTTTACGGATTTTAACTATGACATCAAAACGTCGAACACCCCCCCCCCCGCACCCCAGTGACCATGGGTGCAGTAAAGTGCCGGGAATTAAAAAAAGGTAAAATTTTACGCGATAATAATGGTAAAATTAGTTTTATTCCATATGCACTAGCTTAGCTTAACACAAATTGATTAACTTTTACCATGAATATTATTTTGTAATTAGATTTCCACTTCCATTCCACTCCTTACGTGTAATAAAGAATCATAACCACTTGGTTCGAAATAAATAAATTTTGTAATTCTGGTAAAACATGGCAGTGTAATGGTAAAGTACTTACTGTTTTTACATCCACTTCAGACTTCCCGAATCTATTTTTCTTACATTCAGTTTGACCTCTAAAAAGTCCAATCAGCCCTTTGCTCTGTGGCGTCATTGCCAATTCTCCAAATCCTTGGGCTTCAGCTTCATAGCCTGCAGCAGAGCCTTTATCAACTCCAGTTCTGACTACCTCAAGAATCTATAATGCATTTTAAACATGTTAGTAATGTACAAATTAAAACAAACTAGCTGTTAATTCTTCATTATCTATACATTGAAAGAGCCTAATAAAAATAACTATGTATTACCCTAGCTGAGTTACTCAATAATTAGAAAATACATGATAGGTAGTTTGTTCTAGGAATGGTTGATATCAATGATATTAAAACGTGCTTATGATGATGACAATAATACAAATAATTTATTCTTATATGATAAGAGTCATAGTTAAAACATAGGTCTCATGGCTGGGCACAGGCCTCCCTGTATTTGTGAGTCTTATGGAGCAATTAGTTTGCAGCACCGTTCTAGTGCGTGTTGGCCGACTTCACACTATATCGAAATATTTTAGTTCGTCAGACATGTAGACCTTGCTTCATCGCCGATAACTTGGTAAGTCAGCACAAACAGTAGAACAGTGGTAGTTAGTAAAACTGTAGTTCAACAAAAGAAACTTCAATATGTTCCTTCCAAAAAACAGCATAATGCTGTCTATAAGCATTATTATTAAATAATAATATTAACTTAAAAGTAGGGGATCATTGTAGAAGCGTGCTCGTCGCGACCCCTGCCAGCCCTTTTCAGGGCTGCAATTCTACACAGCTGCGCGCCCATGCAAACGAGGGTTTGGGCGTCCCCCCAAGGCGACGCACACCAGCTCGTCCCCGTTGGTGTGGAATGCAGCGCGCAAAGCGGCGATGGGGACCGCCACCCGTCACGCACAGCCCGACACGGCGGAAGGTGGAGGACGGAGTGCAGAGTTGGCACGTGGAATGTTAGAGGGGGCATGAGAGATAAGACGAATGAGTTGATTGAAATAATGAAAGAAAGAGAATTAGATGTCGTGTGTACGTCGGAGACCAAACGGAAAGGCAGTGGTACTGAAGAGCTCCCTGGCGGGACGTTAGCTATATGGTCCGGAGTCCCGGAAAGCGAGAACGCCTGCCAGGGAGTGTGAGTGCTGTTGTCGTCCCGGTTGGTCGATTTTATGACTGAATACAAGGTTGTGAACTCAAGACTTCTCTGGGTTCGCTTCAAAATGGGACTGACGAAGTTATTCCTTCTGGCTGTTTATGCTCCGGTAGCTTCGTCGTCCAGGGCTGAGCTGGAGGAGTTTTGGGAGAATGTAAGAGAAGTTCTAGATTTGGTTAAGGGAAACGAAAGAACTGTTGTATGTGGTGATTTGAATGGATGGGTAGGTATCGCTCGACCAAGATATGAGTCGGTGCTTGGAAAGTTTGGCGATAAAAGGGTTAATGATGCTGGCAAGCTTATACTGGCTGTATGCAAGGAAAAGGGTCTTCTTGTGACAAACACTATGTTTAATCACAGGAAAATCCATATGTACACTAGAGAAAGAAAAAATGAGAGAAGTATGATTGATTTGTTCTTGGTGGATGACCGACTGCGAAAACAGGTGATGGATACACGAGTGTTCAGGGGTGCTGACCTGGGAACGGATCATTATCTAGTAATTACTAGATTTAGGGGTTTGTTCGCGGGTTGGCGCTACCGGACGGCAGTAACAGAACCACAGTCGGTCTGTCGCATCCGAAGCTGGAAGCTTTAGGAAGCGGATAATAGGGACAAATATCACACGAGGGTAGCCGAAAAGCTTGACACCATCGATAGCAGGAAAGAATGTGTGGAGAGAACATGGCAGAACCTTAGGGATGGAATGGTAAGTGCAGCGGAAGAAGTATGTGGTACGACAAAAAGAGGTAGTAGTAAAAGAAGAGATGCATGGTGGAATGATGAAGTGAGAGAAGCTGTAAAAAAAGAAGAAAAAAGCATGGTTAGACTACTTGGCCTCTAGTAACGATGAGCATATGAGAGAGAAGATGAAAGAAAGATATAAGCTGCAGAAAGTTCATGCGAAAACATTAATTGCGGAAGTACGTGAAAGGTGTAGAATAGAAGCGGACGAGAGGTTGTCGCACAACTTTAGGGAAAACTCCAAACTCTTCTGGAAAGAGGTTGGAGGGTCCCGGAGTGGTGCGACAGCATTAAGAATGAACAAAGTGCTTTCGAGAACCAATGACGTCCTCTCAGAAAATTCGGACGTCATGCAGCGATGGAGTGAATTTTATAGAGAAATGTATGCGTGTCATGATCTTAGTGAAGGATCCAGGGGTGACGCCGTGACTGGCACGCCAGACACGGACCTCGATGACACTGAGGTCATCAGCATGAAAGAGATTGAACGTGCAATTCGAAGTTTGAAATGTGGTAAGGCTGCGGGACTAGACAGAGTTACTGCTGAAATGGTCAAGTACGGTGGGCCTCGCGTCTGGGACAGCTTCCATCTGCTGTGCAATTTGTGCTGGCGGACGGAAGATGTCCCGGATGATTGGCGATCCGCGGTCATTGTGCCTTTATATAAAGGTAAAGGTTCACATTTTGACTGCGGGTGCTATCGGGCGATCAGCTTGACCAGTTTAGCAAGTAAAGTTTACTCGAAGGTTTTGACACGTAGGATGCAAGAGAAATCGGAAAGATTCTTATGGGAGGCACAATGCGGATTTAGAACTGGAAGAGGATGCACGGATCAAATGTTTTCTCTCCGCATGATCACGGAGAAGCTTCTGAGTGTTAACCAGAGGATTTTCTGTGCTTTTGTGGATCTGGAGAAAGCATTTGATAAGATTATAAGGAAGAAAATGTGGGAACTGTTGCCGGGATATGGTGTGGATGGTTGATTGTTAAGGGCTGTGCAGTCACTTTACTATGACTGTAAAGCCTGTGTGCGGGTAGGGCATGACCTGTCACCCATGTTTAGCGTCCAAGCGGGCGTAAAACAGGGTTGTGTCATGTCCTCCTGGCTGTTCATACTGTATCTCGACAGCTGTTTACAGAAGCTGAAAAATAGCTGTTTGGGTGTGAAATTGGGTGACATAAAAGTTAATTGTCTGCTGTATGCTGATGATGCAGTGCTTATTGCACCATCAGAACTGCAGGCATTAGTCACGTGTATGAAAGAGGAATGTGAAATTAAAGGTCTCCGTTTGAATGCTAATAAAACTAAGGTTCTGGTATTTGAAAAGGACGAAGAGAGAACGAAATGTGAAATATGGGTAAATCAGGAATGTCTAGAACAGGTAAATGAAATTGTATACTTGGGGGAGTGCTTTCAGCCGGGATGGAAGATGTGATAGAAGTGGATAGGCGTGTCGCTGCCGGAAACAAAGTCAATGGTGCCCTGAATGCATTAGTAAAAAGGCAAGGCGTGGTGAAGAGTGCACGCCTTGCAATACATAACGCAGTGTTGGTACCGACTTTGTTATATGGCAGCGAAACCTGGGTATGCCAGAAGAAGCATAAAAGCAAGTTGAATGCAGTGGAGATGCGATCTCTTCGTAAAATGTGTGGCGTTACCATAGCCGACCGAAAGCGAAACGAAGAGATTCGCAATATGGCAGGATTGAAAGATGACCTTATCACAAAAATTGATAGGGGCGTACTCCAATGGTTTGGGTACGTTGAACGAATGAGTGAAGACCGAATGGTGAAGAAAATATATAGAGCGAAAGTAAATATTAAAAGGTGTCGAGGTAGACCGAGACTAACTTTCGAAGACCATGTGAGCAAATTGCTCGAAGAGGGGAGGGTCAAGAGTACTCGGATACCTAGATGTGCATGTATGAAGTTAATGAACCTGAAAGAAGCGAAAGAGGTATGTAAGGATCGTGACACTTGGCGATCTGTTCTCTCTGGCTACCCCGTTAGGAATTGTGCGTGAAGATAAGTAAGTAAGTAATAATATTAACCGTTTTATAAGTTTTCCGTGTCAAATTTAGCAAAGTGAACAACAAAATTGCGTGCAAACCTCTTTGAAATAAGAGGAGGCTTGTGCCCAGCTGTGGGACCTATATAGGCTATTAGCATTAAGTAACTAAAGCAAAAGCATACTATAGCAAAATTTTATCAATAGATTTTTGATGGAAAATTAGAATAAATATTAGAATTTCTTGCAATGAAAATATCTCGTACCCATAACATAGTACATTATATGTATACTATATCCGAATATTCGAACATATAAATTATCATATATCGACAATTTACAACTCAAAACATCAATGCAATTGATAATATACGTAATATTTTACGTGGTAGAGCACGCTGCAGCTATATTATAGTTATAGCACGAATGGGTGGGCTCGACCGGGGCAGGACTACGTGCTCACACAATACCAGCCTAATGCTGCTATGTTTCGTATGGTGAGTGTAGAGAACTGGAGACCTTTTTTTACTGGAATCGAGGCAAACCATCTTAGTCCTCAGGGGTGACAGCGCATCTGCATTTTGATTCTTAATTAAGGATAAATGTGAATGTCTATGGGCCACAGCATCCACTTACTATCCGGTGGAATGTGTGCTAGTTTGTCACCCAATGCTATAAAACGAAATACTTTAAATTATCTTATCCACAAAACATATGTGCAAGCATGATGGAACGCCTGCTTATTACTGATATAATATGATCAGTCTTTGGTTCTCATAGACCACAAAGGTAGATAAGGAAGGATTTGTAGTAAGCCTTATTTATTAGAGATGGACCGAATATGGATTTCACCAAATACGAATATTTGACCGAAAGTTCGGTAAAACTTAAAAACTTTAAACTTAGCACCACAGCTGATGCCTGGTACGTGGCACTAGTGCCATCTATTATCAAATAGAAGAACTAAGCTTTCTAGAAAACTCCACACTCGAATTTTCTACATCTAGTCGCTCGGGACGGGTATTTGCTGAAACCCTAAGTTCGTAACATTATTCTTAGTGAAAATTGATAATTATATAATAGAAATGAGTGACAGATCTACTATTTGGACTTATTTTAGAGAAATTGACGACCAAAGTAAAGTGAAATGTATTAATGTAATGTAATGTTTCTTTGTTTGATTCTAAAAATATTTTATCAAGCTTTCTATTTGCTTATAATTGAAAATAAATCTACAGTGCCTCGAAAATATAAACCTATACAAGTAGATTTAACCCATAAATAAAATATACACTCAACAGTAAAATTATGAGACATGGCATTACTCAATTCGTACATTTCAATACAGTGGACACTTTGAGTACGATTTTAACGAATGTTCGATGAATTAGCTGAATATTCGGTAAAGCTGCCGAATATCGAATACGAAACGAATATTGGGCCATCTGTATTATTTATGGCTTGCTTAGCAGTGATTAGCTTAACCTTTTTGAGGGCTGTCCTGTTTAACATCTGCTTTCAAGTAATAAATTAAAATTTAGAAATAATATTTGAATAAATTTAAGTTGTTTTAATAATAAATAACAAAAAATATTTCGATGACATGTGAACTTCACATGCCTTGCTTACCACCAGATGCCTTGTCACCCCTGAGGACTAAGATTGAATGCCTCATATCCAGTAAAAAAGGTCTCCAGTGCTCTACACTCATAACAAACACAGCAGCATTGAGCTGTTATTTTACGTTGGTTTTTTTGAGAGAGCGTGGTCCTTCCCTACATTCGTGCTACAACCAAAAGATAGTTGCAGCACGGCTCTACCACGTAAAAAGTAGAGATATTAAAAAATAATAATAATAACAATATTGAGCCCTTGAATTGCTGACTGCTGACTCCAGGGTGTTCACTATTTTGAATATACAACACAAAATTATAATAGGTCCTAACATATGAAATTGGCGTTTTGTACGGGTGGAATATAAAGTCAATTTTTTTTTTGTAAAATATATTTAATTAATCAAAGTATGCACTGTTGTTATCTATGCAGTTTTACCATCTTATAGGTAGTTCATTGATCCCTTTACTAAAAAAAACCATGGGGGCGAGAATCAATAAACTCTTTGAAGGCGGTTTGGACCACCGCATCGGAGTTGAATTTTTTTCCTAGTAAGAAGTTGTCCAAATTCCGGGAAAAATAATAATCTGTTGGAGCAAGGTCCGGGGAGTATGGTGGATGTCGCAGACATTTCAATTGTAGCTCTAACTTAGTGGTTGTATGTTGTGCAGTGCAGTGTCTTGCCTTGTCGTGAAGCAGCAGTGGCCTAGAGCGATTGACCAATCTCGGTTGTTTAGCAGCTAGTTCTGCCTTCATCGTTTGCAGTTGCTGACAATAGATATCTGCCATAATTGTTTGGCCAGATTTTAGAAAGCTGTAGTGATCGAGACCGGCGCTAGTTCACCAAACACTCACACAAGTAACTTTTTCTAAATCAATTTTCGTTTAGGGCAGGATTTGGCTGGGTCTCCAGGGTTCAGCCATTGCAAAGATCGCTTCCGTAATTCCGTCACAAGTAATGATTCGATTTAAGATCCCTTCCTTTTGTGTCGATTTAGCAAAGTAACACAGCAGTCGACGCGTGTTTGCAAGTTCGATTCACTCAATTCATGGGGTACTCATTGTTCAAGTATTTTTAGGTTCCCAATTTTCTTCAAGTGGATTAATACAGTTTTATCACTTACCCCGAAGCCTGCAGCTATCTCTGAAGTGCTTTGTAATAGATCGGCTTCCACAATAGCCTTTAATTCTTCATTTTCCACTTTGGTCTCCGCCACGGTCGCCGTTCACAGGGTTGGTTCTGAAGGTCGAAATTTCCAGAACGAAAACGTTGAAACCAAAAACGTACCATGCTTTCTTTTGCGACACCAGCGCCGTACACATCATTAATCCTTCGAGCTGTTTCTGCAGCACTGGAGCCACGGTAGAACTCGTACTCGTAAATATACCGATATTTCATGTTTTCTATTGTGCGGTAATAAGCGACACCAAAAAAAATATATAATGAGGAAAAAACAAATGAATGACTGTTTTCAAAACTCAAATGTACCGGCTAAATGAATTTATAAATTTGAATTTGTAATTCATAACCAAAGAGGAGATATTTCAAATCAAAGTGGTCAGTACGACAAAATGCTAATTTCATATGTAAGGACCCAATAATACACTTAGAGTTAAAACTCGCCTTTAAAGGGGCTGGGTACAATCCGCGTGATGCTTTCATAACTTGCTCCTTGGCCTTGTTGAATATAATATTCTTAACAAAGTCCCACAGCATTGCTGTTGCCATTACTTTTTCTACCAGTCCCTTTTTGGACCTATCGATTTTTAATTTTCCTGATGCAATATCCTTTGCAACTTGTACAGCAACATTTTCTAAATACCTCATTGTATTATCTTCAGGTGTTCTCAGACCTAGAAATAAGAACATCATAATTGGTATGAAATAATATGCTAAAAATTAACAAGATCATTCTATGTGAAGATAAATTTAACAAATAGTAAACAATTACCAGGTCCTAAAGGAGAAACTAATAAATCAACCAATCCAAGTTTCTTTGCTTTGTCCGCTTTCACAGTTTTTCCAGTAAGAGTTAAGTCCAAAGTTGTGGGCACTGAAGTAAGTTTTGGTGTCCTGGGATAGAAATAATAAAAATATAAGAAGCACTGGAAGGATAAACATGTTGTTCTAATAATATTTATGGAAGAATACATATTTTTTGCTGTGTTTACATTGTAGTTTAAGGACCTCTATAAAAATTAATTAATATAATAATCTATTTACACATTGAGGCTAATATTTCCAATATGGACCATCGATTTCGAAGCCCATATTTTTTTTGTAGATAGTACTCACTAACAGAAAGCGTTTTGCAAAGTTTTAGGTTGCGGAAACTTACGGTTCATGAGATATATTTTTTTAAACTTTTCATACAAATTGGCAAATAACACGCAATTACAAAATAAATTTGACAAATGATTGATATCAAACGTCAATTAGTGGAGGGTTCCGAATATTTTGAAAGTATCGATACCTACTTTCGATACCAAGTATCGTATCAAAAGTATCAATACTACTTGGTATCGAGTACATTTCGTTAATTTTGGAGACGAAAAATTATGACAAACCATTAGATGCATAGGAAGAGCTGATAAGTGCAATTATATATGTATATAAAGTTTACTCTATTTAAGTTCCACCTTAGTACTTGTATTTCATTGTTTGCAACTTGTTTGTATTTCTTAATTAGTACAGCTTTTTTACTTTTATTTTATTGTTTGCAACTTTCTGTATTATCTAATTCTTACTACAATAAAGTGTTTACTTACTTATTGACTTACTTATTTAATATCCAAAAAGTACCCAAAACCGAATCAGAGCACCCCACTATCCACGTGGTCTTGTCTGCCCTACCCCTAGAGTGTATATAAGAGCCCGGAGGCGCGGAGGGAGAGCAGTGCCCGCCCGCCGTTGGGAAGCGCAGGCACCGAGATCGCCGCAGCGGCTGAGGCTGGTCGCCGAAGGCGACCAAAAAGCCAAACTTGCGAAGGCGAGCTCAGGTGCCTGTGCTTCCCTACGCTAGGGCGGAGGCACTGCTCATCCCACAGCGCCGGAGCTGCCACGGAGCGCCGGAGCACAACTTCCCGGCTTCTTACCCCCCTAGTCTCCAAAATTAACGAAATGTACTCGATACCAAGTAGTATTGATACTTTTGATACGATACTTGGTATCGAGTACGTATCGATACTTTCAAAATATTCGGAACCCTACACTAATTGACGTTTGACATCAATCATTTGTCAAATTTATTTTGTAATTGCGTGTTATTTGCCAATTTGTATGAAAAGTTTAAAAAAATATATCTCATGAACCGTAAGTTTCCGCAACCTAAAACTTTGCAAAACGCTTTCTTTTAGTGAGTACTATCTACAAAAAAAATATGGGCTTTGAAATCGATGGTCCATATTGGAAATATTAACCCAAATTGAAATTGTCAAAGAAAACAAATCATAATGTCTAAACTTCGGCATAAACATTTTCGGGGTTACATTTGCCTATTTTAACAAAATTACATTTGTCATTGTCAGTGCGTTCAAATTGGATGATAGGCGTGGCTTAAATGCGTGCTATCTAACCTAGCGTCGTGCGAGAAAGGGATAGACTTAATAAAGAGCAGTAACAAGCTTGTGCGTACGCCACCACCAAAAACAAACACGCAAAAATTAACGAACAGACCTTTACGACAAGGCTTTTTATGAAAATACTACTGAATCTATATTTTTAAAATAACTTTCGGATAAATAAACTATGTCTGTACATAAATTATTTTGGATTTTCATACTTTTTATAACATTTATTTTACATCAGTTAGTAATAATTAAAATATGCATGTTTTCAGGCCTGTGACTTTCAAATCAGAATTTATTTTACTGATTGGTTTCTGTAGAAATCTGGATAATGACAGTCAAGTCGATAATATGCTTACTTTTAGACATACATCATCAATCAGTGAAGTAATCACCCTCTCACATTTGTATGGAAAAATTGGAAATTAGTGCATTCTTAAGAATAAAACCTTAAAACTTATTTATTACTCTACCTTTGGGTGCCTCCTCCACCTGGCAAAAGTCCTAACATAACTTCTGGAAATCCTAGTCCAGTCTTTGAGTCCTTAACTGCAATTCTGTATTGACAAGCTAGTGCTGTCTCTAAACCACCTCCAAGGCATGAACCCTGAATTGCTGCTACATAAGGTTTGCGAGAGTTCTCCATTTTTTTAAAAATTTCATGCCCTTAAACACATATTCAAATAAATAATTAAAACAATCATTATTACTCCTGTAATATAACATTAACACTCAATAAAGAGGTTTGTATTCTGAATATTTTCTTGTTATTCTTTATTTTCGTTACTATTAAATTCAATTTAAAAAAAATGGTTTATTTTGCAATAGTGCCAGTACAAGAGGTAGCACCAGTTTGATCATTAGGCTTTAGTGGTGTGTTATTGAAGAGATTCATTTTAAGAGTTTTGTAGCAACTGTAGTATAAACAAGGTAATTTTTAGTATGAGTAGAGATAAGTGACTAGTAATTAGAAAATATTGTTATGGAAACGTACCTGCTTTGGATAGGCTTACCACCTCCTCTTTTGTTTTACAATTTTCAATCATGGTTATATCAGCTCCAGCTATAAAGCAGCCCGGTTTCCCTGATATCAAAACAGCTGCCTCAATAGCAGAATTTGCCTCAACTTCATTTATAATATTTTTAAACTCATCCATTAAAGCCGGGTTTAAAGTATTTACCTGAAATGCCATTCCATTTAAACTTATATTATATACAAGGATGATCTTTTTTACCGTCTCGAAAAGATAGAGTGTATGTAACATGTGAACCGAGTAGAAGCCTATGACACTGATATTTTACAAAAAATAAAAACAAAAAGTTTTGAATTTAAATGTTTGAACAATTACTTTATCTTTTGCCCTTAGAGCCTATGACCCTGTGAAGTGACAAGGTCAAAGATGCCTACTACATTTATTGTTTTATTGCCATTCGTAAAGTAGGGTAGGGTGGACATGATTTGAATTTCGATAGATTTTAATTAATTTATTTATTTAATTAAATTTTTTGTTAAATATCAGTGTCATAGGCTTCTACTCGATTCTCATGTTATTATTTTTATCCAAATGGTATATAAAAGGTCATCCAGCATATATGTATATACATATGGGTATATATATGTATATATATATATATTAGATCGATCTATTTATATATACTGGATATATAACCCTTGCCGGACGGGAGATCTCAGCCAAATGTTTATTTCCTAAAGTACCAAGGCCTCAATAACTCATTTTTTCATTCATTACAGCCTATCACAACTCCACTATTGAACAAAGGCCTCCTGCAAAGAATGCCACCTGCATGTTTGTCGTCTAGCGGGGACAGGCCTATTCTTTGCTTATTATTACGAGGCTGCCACTCGAGAACCTTTCTTCCTAATCGGTTCTCGGTTTTTCGCTCTATATGGCCCCATTGCCACATCAGCTTAGTTATCCATAGAGTTACTTTGTTACTCTCTCTGCTACTCTGATTCCACTGCGGATACCCTAATTTCGAAGTCTATCACACAAAAACGATCACAAGAATCGAAAGGGCCATAGCTCATATCCATAGGTTTGTAAGTAACTCTGCGCAGCCAAGATGAAATCTATTGACTTGTCAGTCTAAGTTGGACAACAAAGTTAGACAAGTCGTCCTAGGTAAACATACTCATCAACAACTTCAACCATTTACAATTCCATTGAAGCATACACCAGCAACAACCCAGAGGAACTATTAAAAAATATTATATATTTAAAATATAATATTTTACAAAATTAGTATGAAAACATTTAGAAATAGCATAGTAGCTATCATCTTATTCCCAGGTGTCATTATAAATCTTGTTCTGATACTCCTGATTTACATTAAAAGACTTAACATTTAATATATATATATAATAGAGTAAATGGGGCCTTGCACTCTATTGTGAAGAGTCAAAATGTGTCGAAAAAGGCACGTATGGCAATTCACAATGCTGTATTGGTCCCTACTTTAACGTATGGTAGTGAAAGTTGGGTGTGGCAGAAGAAGCATGAGAGTAGAATAAACGCAGTAGAAATGCGGTCGTTAAGGAGTATGTTAAGGCTGAATCTGAATGACAGGGTAAGAAATTGTGTAATAAGAGAAGAGTGTGGTTTGCAAGATGATGTTGTGACCAGGATTAAGAAAGGAATGCTTCGGTGGTTTGGTCATGTGGAAAGAATGAATGAGGAAAGAGTGACAAAGAAAATTTATGGTGCAGAAGTGAATGGCAGAGTCGGAAAGGGACGTCCTAGGCGAAAATTTATCGACCAAATTGGCGATTTATTGAAAACGGGCCAAATTAGGAGTACCCTTAACCGACGAGCATGTATGCGTAGGTGTATGGATGTGAAGGAGGCAAGAGAGGTGTGTCAGGATCGTGCCAAATGGAAGTCTGTAGTCTCTGCCTACCCCTCTGGGTGACAGGCGTGAGTGTTTATGTATTATGTATGTATATATATATATATATATATATATATATATGTTTTAAAGTTATAAGTAATAAGTTTTAAATCTTAATGAGTATTGGCAGTACAGAAATAGATCTAAAATTAGTGAGGTCCAATGTACAAACTACCGTTAAAATTTTAAGTAAATATATGGATACCATTTAAATAAAAGGTATATATTAATAATCTAGAATTAAAAATAATTGCTAGTTGAGGTGTGATTGCATCTATTATAGGTGCTTAGAACTTTCAAGAGAAATACCCCATAGATCTGCTGTATTCTTAATATCAATAGTTTAGAAATATGTTCCAATATCTTTTGATATTTTATGAAATGCACATTATTTTTTACAGACATTTCAGAATTCAGTAACTTTCTAGTCATGAACAACTTTCTAGAATGTTGGTAAAATATTGTTCAAAAGCCATTACAACATCTTGATCGGATTTATTTAAATTATTGTTAAAATTGAAATGAAAATTTGAATTGTATAGTTTCATCTTGCCAGTTTGCTATTGATTATACTACAAATCATTTTAATTTTATAAGCGGTATTCTTAATTTTGTTTTTTAGTTGTAAAGACTTGGCTTTGGAACACACTATAATTTTTTTGTATGTAGAGTAAATGGGGCCCTACACTCTATTGTGAAGAGCCAAAATGTGTCAAAAAAGGCATGTATGGCAATTCACAATGCTGTGTTGGTCCCTATTTTAACATATGGTACTGAAAGTTGGGTGTGGCAGAAGAAGCACGAGAGTAGAAAAAATGCAGTAGAAATGCGGTCGTTAAGGAGTATATTAGGGCTGTATCTGAATCAGGGTGAAAAATTGTGTGATAAGAGAAGAGTGTGGTTTGCAAGATGATGTTGTGACCAGGATTAAGAAAGGAATGCTTTGGTAGTTTGGTCATGTGGAAAGAATTAATGAGGAAAGAGCGACAAAGAAAATTTATGTTGCAGAAGTAAATGGCAGAGTCGAAAAGGGACGCCCTAGGCGAAAATTTATCAACCAAATAAGCAATTTTTAAAAACGGGCCAAATTAGGAGTACCCTTAACCGACGAGAATGTATGCATAGGCATATGGATGTGAAGGAGGCGAAAGAGGTGTGTCAGGTTCGTGCAAAATGGAAGTCTGTAGTCTCTGCCTACCCCTCTGGGTGACAGGCATGATTGTTTATGTTTATGTTTTATTTGTACGTATTCTCTAAACGTAACTCTGTAATTATATGATTTTTATTATTTTTATTATTATTAAAAGTTATTAGACCTTCTAATAACTTTTTACTATTCTTATGGATACCTACTGCCACTCATTCATTAAACAATTTGCAACTGTTGAGAGAGAAGGTTATAAAAGTTAATATTCTATTATAATTATAATTGAAGACTTATAAGTTTAAATAATGATCCATATAAATGGTCAGTGTTGTTTTTATATGGAAGAAATGGCAGCTTTAGTAATATAGTGTACTTTCAAATCTCTCATACAATCAATTAATCAAGTAGTTTTAAGTTAATACAATATCATAAAAAGAAACATACTTTTTATATTACATTATTTAGTCATGGATGGCCATATTATCTACAGCATGAAGATGATGTGTACTTATAAAAAATGTTTAGTGTTTATTCATACCATTTAGGTTTTAACTCACTTGGAATTGTGATGAATAGTTCTAATTTCAAACATTACCACTGAAGCACTTGTTTATTGGATTTTTAATAATATACACAATTCATGAAATAATTATATGTAACTTACCTTAACATTTGGAGAATCCAAAGTAATTACATAAACACCATCAACTAATTTACACTTGGTATGTACCTGGCTACTTGCAGCAGCTGTGTATGATCTGCAGTACAGACCTTAAAATAAAATTGTAATATGACGAAAATTTGTTCATATAAATATCATTGAAAGTAAGCAAGAAATATATTACAAATGCTAGAGAAGAATAAATTAATTAAAAGTTTTCACATGACTTACTTTTAATAAACTTCATATCGTTTCGACGCTTCAGGATTTTAAGTGCACTCAACATTTTGCTGTTAGACATATTAAAAACTTATTTAATAAACTAAAATTTAATGAAAACTTTGTTTATAAGAAAGTGCAAAGTTTTAAATTCGAACCTAGACTTTGAACCTAAACTTTTCTATTTCTACTTGTTGTAATGTATTGTACTTGTACAAGAGATGATAGTGATAGAGATGACTTTTTTTATTAACTGGCTTTAAAGCTCTGGGTTCTAGCCCTTCTGAGCTTAATAGAGATGACATTCTTTCTTTATTAACTGGCTTTACGGCTCTGGTTTCTAGACCTTCTGAGCCTATCCTTTCTATAATGATTTCTTATATTTACGCGAACACTACACATTGATTAAAACTACTTTTACGGATTTTATCGCGTTTATTTTACTTATAATTACTTTTATTTTTAATTCCCGACGTTTCGGGCGCTTTCCAGCACCCATGGTCACGGGGGACTGAGATAACTGACGTCCCGATGATCATTGTTAAACCCGGAGTACCTTCAGCTTTTTATCTCTATCTGACATATGGATATCTGACATATGGAAGTACAGCAGGCACACGCTCGACTGTGGCCGGCTTCACTGGGTCACTGTGATGGAGGCGTGGGACCCTAAGCTTGTTGTCGTGCAGAACCTGCTTGACGTGCTGAAGCTGGGCGGCCAGGTGTTTGCTGTCACAGATCCCTCGTGCTCTCTGTAACAAAGATTTACGGTAGCTAACTGTGAAGGATGATGGTGAGATTCACCATTTAAGTATCGGTTTGTATGGGTCTTTTTTCTATACACAGTATGACCTATGGTGTTGTTAGGATTTCGGATGACTAACACATCTAGGAAAGCTAAGGAATTATTTGCCTCTAACTCCATAGTAAATTGAATTTTAGAGTTTATGGAATTAAGATGTTCTAAAAATGCAATTACTTTGTCTGATGGTAAAATTGTGAAAGTATTGTCTACGTACCGCTTGTAGAACCTTGGGGTAACAGGTGCAGTAAGGAGGGCTTTCTCCTCAAAGTCTTCCATGAATATATTGGCGACAATGGGAGATACAGGTGAGCCCATCGCAACACCATCTACTTGCTTGTAAAACTCTTCCTTCCACAATAGATAGTCAGATGTAAGGCAATGTCTTAGTAGTACTGCATATTCTGGTGGCATGTTATTTTCATCTGGTTTTCTAGTTATAATTGAGATGCAGTCTTCAACAGGTAGGCATGTAAATAGAGACTGAACATCAAAACTGACCATGGTTTCATTGTCAGCAAGACGTAGGTATTTTATCTCACTGACAAAATGGTATGAATCCTTAGTATGTGCTCTTGTGTGTCCTCTGAGTGGTGATAATATTTTGGCTAAGTGTTGAGCCAATCTGTAAGTTGGTGACTCGATTAGACTCACTATTGGACGTAAAGGAGCGTTAGGTTTTTGTATTTTTGGGAACCCATACAACTTGGGAGGTTTTGCACACGAAGGTATCATCGAATTGACGTCTAGATTAAATTTCTCGGAGTATTTCTTAATTAGATCGCTAGTTGTTTTAAGCGTATTAGTTGTAGGGTCTGTTTTGACCTTACGGTATGTACTTTCATCCGACAAAAGTTGTTGTATTTTAAAATTGTAATCCGACGTATCCATTACAACCGTAGCATTTCCTTTATCTGCGCGGAGAATCGTAAGCTCTGGTCTGTTGCGTAAGGTTTTAACGCGTTAAATTCGTTTTTGGGAAGATTTAATTTCGGCGCTGTACTTTGACGTAACATAGACGAAATGTCTTGGCGTATGGCCTCTAAATCTTCGTTACCAATATTATTTTTATACAGACAATCCTCAACACTGGAGATAATGTCTTCATACGGGATTCTTCGCGGTGTAATTGCATATTAAATCCTCTTCCTAAAACTTTTATTGTTGAAACGTCGGGTATTAAAAATAAAATAAATAAAACGCGACAAAATCCGTAAAAGTAGTTTTAATCAATGTATAGTGTTCGCGTTAATTTAAGAATAATAAAAAAATACGAATAATAAAACTTTAATACTAAAGAGTCTTGTACCTATTAAAGTATGAAGAAAAATGTATTGAATAAAATTTTAATTTTTAAAGATTTTAGCTTTTCCTCGCCGATTAGCACTTTAACACACTTATATTCATCACAAGGAACACTATTATCCTCCCATTTTCACTAAAAATCTTTGAAAAAGCATACATTTTTAACAGACACAACAAAATAAACATAAACATTGAAATGTGAAGTGAACTTGCAAACGTATCGCCGAACCCCCACTCGCTAACGCACTTCTAAACAACTTCAGGGCAAAGCCCAGCTGTAGGTTTAATAGTAATTGATACATAAACATTTGTAGTTATATTTCATTATAGAACATTTTGCCACAGGTTAGAAAGGGAGAGATCGTCTTCTCAAAAGCCCGGTAAAAAGCCAACGCGTGCAAGAGAGACGACAAAATCAACTCCTTGTTTCATTAATTTTTATAGTCCAGTGTATTTCGAATTGAAAGCAAACTGCCAAGTGTTGACGTTACATATTATATGCAACGAATGATGCACTGCCTAGAAAAGAGGAGCGCGCAGGAAATTTGAAATAGTTTGAAATAGTTTACGAGTTATTTTATTAGTTGATATATTGATTGAGCATTTCGATAGAGCAAGCCCGGCTTCTGGGCTTCTATGGAGGCTTCGCCACTGAGTCTAGGGATAATTTGATGGATTCATGGTATATTTTAAATCATATGTACAGCGATAGATTCCGCATTATTCGACTACGTTTTTGTTGCAAGACGTCAGATGACGCTTCCATAAACTTTCATTGATATAATATATAAGTATTACGAAGCGGACTAATAACAATCCCTAATTTTACTAAGTCATAGACTAAATGAATTTATCGAAAACGTGTTTTGTTACGCTAACGACACGTCAGTAGAGGTGTATCTATGGAATGAAAAAACGGCAACAACATTGTAAAAAAAAAGGTGAGAATAATCCAGCTATCTTATCTTATTAACTTATTATGTACCATGTAATACGTTATATGTATAAAGAGTTCAGCTATAAGAATTTTGTTTCATATTTTAGGACTCTCTCTATGCTAGTAATTACTCTGAGGCTTTCACTGACCTCTATATATACAAGTACGCTGGACTGGCTATACACCGTGGCATGATGTGGCAATTTGATATGCGCCATTTTGGCGCTGACAGCAGAAGTGCACGTCCACGGAACTAATAACAGAGGTAAGACAGTGTGACAAAATATATAGATAAAAATTCTATACCCTACCTATTCCTAAATAAATAGAATGGACTCTATGGATAGATGGACTCCATCCGTAACGTCCATTATATTTATTGATTGATTATGATACAAGTCAAGTGGCATTCTCTGCCAAACCAGTCAACCCAACCAACGTACATAATACATTTAAGTATACATCCATATATCATACAGAGTTATTTTGCTACACAATACATTTAAATATACATACATACAGTATACAGGGTTATTTTGCAATAACCGGCCAAATTCGCAGAGAAGGTTCAGAATAAGTAATATAGGCAAATGGTGAAGAAAAATTAACTAAAAAATCCCAAACATTCTGTCCTTTTTATCTTTTAAATTCAAAATGCGTGGTAATGCATTATTTTAACTGATTTTACTGCGTATCGAATGAAAAAAAGAAAATTATCCTTAAGATGAGTAGGCGTCACTTCACCTTGTTGTTACCTTGGCTCGCTTAAAATTGAATAAAGTACATGTAAAATTTTCTTACTAACGGTCCAATAAATCGTTTATATTAATAATATTTAGGTATATTATCTTCATTATCAAGATATAAGATACTATTTGCAAGAATATGGTTGAATGATGATGTTCAAGTATAGTTCTACATATTCTACCTTCATCATCATCATCATCATTACAGCCCTTCACAAGTCCACTGCTGAACGTAGGCCTCCCCCAAGTAATGCCACAAAGCACGGTCCTGAGCCACCTGTATCCATCGACTTCCTGCATGTCTTACCAGGTCGTCACTCCATCTAGTGGGGCGTCCATGTCGCCCTACACTACGCCTACCGATACGAGGCTGCCACTCGAGAACCTTTCTTCCCCATCGGTTATCGGTTCTTCGAGCTATATGACCGGCCCATTGCCACTTCAGCTTACTAATCCGTTGGGCTATATCGGTCACTCTGGTTTTACTGCGGATATCCTAATTTCTGAGTCTATCACGCAGAGAAACTCCGAGCATAGACCTCTCCATAGCTCGCTGAGCGACCTTGAGCGTCCTCATACGGCCAGCAGTGAAGGACCACGTCTTAGATCCGTAAGTCATCACTGGCAACACGCACTGGTTGAACACTTTAGTTTTCAGAGATTGAGGTATACCTGACGAGAAGATGTGTCGTAATTTCCCGAACGCTGCCCAGCCGAGTTGAATCCGTCGATTGACCTCTCGGTCGAAGTTGGACTTACCTAGTCGGATTATTTGTCCCAGGTAAACGTACTCGTCAACAACTTCGAACATAGTGCTCCCAACAACTACCAGCCTTAATAGTTTGCAAATATAAATGGCCAAATAACTACAATATTTTATCGAATTTTTAATAACATATAAATTATTAAATATTAAGTCCTTACCCATGAAATTGCTGCTTTTTATGAAATAAGTTAACATAGTTGTTTTTCTATATTTTTTTATTTCTATAATTTGCCGTACGCAGTGGCAGTTTATTGATGTCCTTCGTGAAGAAATCAGCTGGAATTTTTTCCCGCCAAAAAGTTATCCAAATTCTGGAAAAAGTTAAATTCTATAAGCGCAAGTATAGTGGTGAGTACAGCGAATGACCGAGAGCTTCCAACTCCAGCTCTTGTAACTTGGAGATCGTCCTTTATGCAGTATGGGGTCGCGCGATGTCATCGAGGAGCAGCGTGGACGAGCGATTGACCGAAGCTGAATGGAGACGTGCAAGCTTATTCATCATTCTGTTCAG